CTTATAGGTATAAAAGAAATATTTCAGCGAAAAAATTATTCTTAAAAATTATTATTAAAAATTATTCGAAAAACTATTGACGTTTTATTTTTCAGCAGCTGTTCTTGAGCACGCTTTGTTGAGTTTCGGTAACTTTTAACATAAAAGCGTTATTATTTAAGTAATTTTTTTGAGTTACTTTTTACAAAAATTTTAATAACTGTACTTTTTTATTGAATCAATATTTTTAATATTAATCCTTTTTTTTTTTTTTATTTGGGCTCACCAATTTTTAAAATGTTTCCTCGAAATTACTCTTAAATAATTTAAATACGTCTAACAGTTAATAAATATTTTTAAATCTATGGAATAATTTTAAAACCTAACAAACCCCTGTAAAATAATTATTTAAGTTTAAAATCTAAAACTAAAAGAAAGTATTTTTGTTCAATTTTATCGACAACTTTACTATTGCTGAATAATTTTATTAAAATGTTAGCTTAAAAGATTTCAACTTTTTTTTTAATCTGAATTTTTTCTACTTGTAAATAATGAGCATATTTAATTTTTCTTAATTCAAACCTTTATTTCAACTGCGTGCGGTTTTTAAAATACTTTATTAAATGTTAAAATAATCGTAAATTACTTCATTAAAATTCCGCTCAAAAATATCTTTAAATATACTCAAATAAAACATTTTTTGCTCGATGCAAATAGCCCTAGCTACACGCAAAATCGCTCTTGGACGACGTAAAATTTACATCGCCCGACGCTTTATCGCAAGGCCTGATCAGATAATTAAATCAGATAATTAACTTGAAAAAAAATTTTCATTTTTCACAAACTATTTTAGTTTTTAGTGATTTAGTAAACAAATTTTTGAATTGCTTTGCTTAGCATGAAAAAAATAGATTTTTTCAAAATCATTCAAGTCAATCATAAGAACCATCATTAAAAATTGTAAACATGTAGTTTAGATAGTTAAGTCAATTTATGAATAGTAAACTCCAAATGGGTAGAACCTTCTCTCTGAAATTATAATCAAGAAGTACCAATAAGCCAAGCAATTCATTTCAGTTTATCAGCTGAAGTGTTTTTTACGGATCAATAGTTGGGGCTTAAAGAATTTCTAATCTGTATCAATATTATTTTCTTAACCTAAGAAAGTTAGTTTATTTACTAAGTTTAATTTGTTTTTATTCTACTATCTAAAAACAAATTCTTCTTTAAATAATACATTAAATACAGTGCTTGCTTAACGATTGATTAAAAAATAACTTTTCATGAATATTACCTTAAAATTAAATGAATTTTATTCAAAAAAAAATTTCAAGATTATGATTTATCATGAAGATAAAATTTGGACATTAAAAAACTCGGTGTAATTTAAAAGTAAATATGTATACTATGAAATAAAAAATTTACTTCTTTTTTACATCATGAGAAAATGTAAATAAAAGATTAAAATGTGAATACTTTGCAGCATTTGAAAAAATCAACTTTATAAAAATAAAGCAATACGCATAAACGTAAGAAGTGTAAGTATAAACTTCGACAAACTAATGACTCAATTAAGTAATAATAAAGATATTATTACTCAATTAAGTAATAATAAAGTTGCTCTTGGTCTTGCGAAAAAACTGTTTTCGGTTTGATAACTTTCATGAATGTTATGAAAAATCACTCAGGAAGAGTGCCACCAGTTTTTAAAAAATTTCTTTGTCAATTATTTTTAATGAATGTTTTCAATATTTACGCAATTCTTTTGTTACGTAACTCCTAATAATAGATAAATAAAATTCCCTAGATAATGTAAGTGATGTAACTTAAGTAAAATATACAGTATCAAAAAAATCAATCGATCAACTCTGATTTTTTAATAAAATTTTTAAATTGGTATAGAAATCTCAGCATTTTGTGAAAATTTATAATTCAAACTACTTTACTGATTCGCAGAAATCAGACCTAAAAATTAAAGCAATTTTTTTACCTTGTTTTTCGTGTAACATAATTGTATGTGGCATTTTCAGTATTAAGTTTGCTCTCTTTTGGCTAAACTCGAAACTTTTTAGCTTATTTTATTCATTAGACTAACAGCTTTTATACAAAATAGCTGAAAGTTTAATTTAAAGTTTAAATAAGCAAATATTTGATAAGGTTGTTGCCCATGTAGCGTAAGTTAAAAATGGAATTGCCCATATATATGTTATTTTAATATTTTTATTTTCTCATTAATAACTACAATAATAAAGTATTATTAAGAAAATTAAATAATATAACAAACTAGTTTTGTTTTTCAATGCGCTTTTAAAATGCGTCATTTTTAATATATGCAAAAAATCATGGCCAAGTTATCAACAAAAAAATATATATGGGTGGTCATTTAAGGCGTGCGACCGCACGCATTTTCTGAGAAGGTCTGTATATATATATATATATATATATATATATATATATATATATATATATATATATATATATATATATATATATATATATACACTTACTAAAGCGTATTTTTATAAGCATTTGCTCACTTTTTTTGCTTACCTTAAAGGGATCCCAAACTCCCAACACATGTTGTGTTCATATTAAAGATAATGTTAAAAAAAAAGGTTTGAACCAAATTTTTTTGATTAAAAATAAATAATGAATGCATACCGTGAAAAACAAATGTTGTTGTTTTTGCCTCGTCTTCTCCATTTTTTTCAACCACTCGGAGTCTTCAAATTATGCGTCGCAATCTACAGACTTTCGCAATTCCTTTGAAGCGCGTTTAATTCATAAAAGTTTTAGTATTTGACGTCACGGTAGACTTTTAACAAAAGAAAAGTGTAATTAAACTAAGCTGCATTTTTCTACTGTAGTATTTTTTCAACATACAGCAAAACAAATTTATTTGTATTATTTTTCTAAACATCGCAAAGAAAAATTTGTAAAAAGAAAAAATGATAAATTATTTTTATTTTATAGAAGCAACTTGTTTTTTACAGATATCTTAATAATTTTTTGATTTATTTATCTTACTTATATTTTTTTTGTTTTTAAATTAAAACAAATATTAAAGCTTTACTTACCAATCTTATGATTTTCTTACGAGTATTTTACATTATATAGAACATTATATATATGGTCTCTCGTTTTTGTGCAAGAGAGCGCAGTATTATATATTCTAAATCTTACATTAACAATCAAAACTATTTTCTAACTTCTTTGGTCATTTTTACGCTATGAAGTTTTTTGTTTTTCTGTCGAAAAAAAGTTATTAAAAGCAATTGCTTTCATTTAATTAGAGATATTTGATGAACTGTTAAATTTTTTTATTATAAAAATTTTTTGATTACGCTGATTAAATTTAAATTGCTGAACTTGCTAAATTGGATATGGATAAAAAAAAATCATTTCATTTTGCATTTGATTTTTGATAACGAAACTTTTGAAATGTCGGCAACTCCATACATAATTTTGTTTTTACTCTAACATATTTTACATACAAATACGTGGAACAAATATGTTCCTAGGGCCTTTTCTGATCTTAGAATAAATTAACACAATATCGCATAATTTTAGGGGCTTTTTATTTATTTCTAAGTCGTTCTAAATAATAAGTAAATATAGTTAAAGTTAATATTTTAATAATTACAGTTGCAATATAACAAAAAAAAGATGTTTAATGTTGAACTTTTTATTTAGTTATTTATTTTTTACCTACTTTTGTTATAAAAAGACTTTAGTACCCGCGTCATTTAAATAATTTGTTTTAAATATATTTCGACGTGATTATTCAAACTAATTTTTTTCGTTTGACTTCCCCAAGCAAATTGAGACAAAATATCGTCTAAGGGATCGTCCATAAATTACCCAACGCAAAAAATATTTTAGAAACAGGAGTAGGAGATATTAGGCTCTTTTACGCGGCAATTTTCATTTAACTTAATTTCCTATTTTGATTGTTTATTTAAATTAAGACTCTGCAAGGGAAATCTTTTGATCTTTTTTTGTTTTGTTTTTTTGTGAATTTTGCGTTACGTAATTTATGGACGATCCCTAACCAAATAAAAATGTTGTTACTAATTTTATACAGGTAATTAATGTAAAACATTTATTTATCAGAGTCTTATAATTGAGATAATAATTTTATACAGGTAATTAATCTAAAACATTTTTTTATCAGAGTCTTGATTGAGATGATAAATATTCATAATTTATAAATATTAAATATATGGCGCAATAACAATTTATAGCAACGAACCAGCATAAAATATTTAAGGTGTTTAATATCTTTTTAAATATTAAAAGTAGAAAAAAAAACAACTAAACAAATAACCAAAAAAACTTCCACTAAAAATAAATAAAAATATTCCCAGAGTTTTTGTTGTTAAAAAGTCTACCGTGACGTCAAATACTAAAACTTTTATGAATTAAACGCGCTTCAAAGGAATTGCCAAAGTCTGTAGATTGCGACGCATAATTTGAAGACTCCGAATGGTTGAAAAAAATGGAGAAGACGAGCTTTGGCAAAAACATCAACATTTGTTTTTCTCGGTATGCATTCATTATTTATTTTTAATCAAAAAAATTTGGTTCAAACTTTTTTTTAACATAATCTTTAATATAAACACAACATGTGTTGGGAGTTTGGGATCCCTTTAACCTATACGACTTTTTTAGAAAAAGATGAAAAAAAACTAAGAATGATGAATGAAACGATTGCTGCCCCATACCAAACCCTCAGTCGATGGAGCAGCACTCCACTGCGAGTCAGGCTATTTGTCAGTCGATGTATGTACTGAAGCCCCCAGCAGCAGGCTATTTCAGTATGACGTCAGATTGCTTACCTTAGTACGCAATACTATTTGTATATATATATATATATATATATATATATATATATATATATATATATATATATATATATATATATATATATATATATACACATATATGTATATATATATATAAAAGTTTAATTTGATTTGTAGTATGTAAAATGTAAATGTCATTACATTTTCTGTATACAGATGTGGAAGAGTGTTTTGTGAAAACTGCTGTCAGTACATGAAGCGCTTATCTCCAGAATGCATACCTGATCCTCAGGGAAATCTCTATCGGGTAAAAATATTGATTTGCTACCAAATTATACTTCCCTTTTTTTCTTGTTTCTATTAGGGATGTCTAAGATAGCATTTTTTAAATATCCGGCTGGATACTAAATAACCTGATAATCAAAAATTATTGGTTGGATAATTTCGGCTGGATATTTGTTTCTATGGGCAGAAATTATCAGCCGGATATTTGTATCTACAGACAGATATTTTCATTTCAAAGGTTTCAATGCATATTTTTATAATTCAAATATTTTAAAATACTGCGACAGTAAACATTCTAAAATGAAAAGCATTTTAAAATCAATGATCTTTTTGAATCGACAGCAGCTTGTATTCTATGTAGAAATCAAATAAGCAGGGGATCTAATAATTCTAGTCGAAAATCACTTTTTACAACTCCACTGCACAATCATTTTTTAAAATTTATATTAAATTGTAAGAAAAGGAAGAAAAAGAATTATGTTTAACCTTTGACTTCTTTAACTCCACAAGATTGTTCAAAAGGTAGCGTGATAATTGTAAAGATTGTCAAATCTCCCATTCTGTTAATTACCAAATGGTTTGATCAAGTATAAACTGTGTATCTTTAAGAATGCTGAAATAGTTAATAAAAAGTTTTTTCCTAATATTTATTAACATAAAATATCCAGTTCTTTTAACTCTGAACAAGGCTGCAAGCAACCTTGATGAATAAATATTTTAAAGCATTAAGAAGTAGTTTACAGTAAGATTTTTGATTTAAGATGGAACTTTGATGAATGAAATGATATGAAGTTTTGATTAATCTAACAAGATTACAGCTTAAGCAGCAACTGTAATTTGTAAAAAAGAGAAAATGCAACCTTACAAAGTTGGGACAGAATTCATGTATTTGTTAAGTTGATAAGTGGAGTTTACTGATGGAGATAACTGTGATGGTAATGCCAGAAGAACTGGTATTTGAGTGATAGAAATGCAAGAAGAACTGGTATTAAGTTCAATGGAACAATACAAATATTTGTATAAAAAGTATTGATGTTATTGATAGAAAAATCCACCCACAACCTAAACTAGATGCTACAGCAAACACCAACTATGCTAATAATCTAATACTAACAGATGATGATTTAATTGCATATACTTCTACTTTAGTGAAGTCATTAATTTGCTAGTAAACTACCCAGCAGTTTTTAAGTAAACAAGATTTGGCTTTCAGTGGGCAAAGAAATCTTAGTCATATGATAATGCAAGTACTAGAACTGGTGAAATTTCTGGGCTGCAAAAAGAATCAAAGACATTTTACCACGTGCTTTATTTACATAAAGCATGTAGTGCATGCTGTGTCCACATTCTTTGTTTACACAGTTTGAAACCACACACAAATTTTTTACCAGCAGTTTAACTAGGATAACATTGCTTAAAGAAGATGGGCATCTAGAAATGCAGTAGTTGATCCTAAATCACAAAATCACCAAGCTTTGGTAGTCGCTAAGAAAAAAGTCGGAAAATTAAAAATTGTAAAGTCAAGTTCCTTGCAAAAGGGATTCTAGAATCTCTTTAGAAATTTGAGTATGTGGTTTTTCTTGTGTTTTGGAGTAAGCTGGAGTTTGGAGTATTTTGGAGTAAACAAGTTACAAAGAGTATACTATAGACATGGTTGTTGTTTTGGGTTACATCAAAAATTTCTGCTATTTAATGACCTCTGTGGTATATACCCAAATACCTCAACATTATATAAAATATACATAACACTGTCTTTTTCTAGTTTGCCTGCATAATATTATTTTAATTGATAAGAGCTCCTGAGATCATATTTGTAGTCCACTATAAATGGGGAATAGTTATCAAGTTAAGCACTACTATATGTTGAAAGAGAAATTGCAAATGAATTTGATCATAACGCTGTTCTAGACAGTACATATGAAACCAATATGATTAAAGCTGAATTAATTTTATATTTAATTTATTTTAAGTATTTATTTTAATTAATTAATGTACTGTTAGGAACATTATGCATTGTTTAACAGATTTCTAAAATATCAATATTTTTTATACTTGTGATAAGCAGTTTAGCAGTTTTTAATAAATTTATTATAACTTAAAAAATGTGCAGTTGTTTTTTAAATATGCAGTTGTTTTTTGCTTTTAAAGTATAGTATAAGGCAGAACTATTTGCAAAAAACTTTTTTTTTAATTTGGCTCTTGAATCTTATGGCCATTCTCCTCCTTCCATTCCAATCAAACAGATTAACCCATTGTTAGACATTCAAATCACTGTTGCTCAAGTCATATCTCAATTAAATTCTTCTACAACTTGTGGTCAAGACAATATTTCTGTCAAAGTCTTGAAGAGAGTTCTGAAGAACAAAATTTTTCTTCAGAACTCTCTTCAATTATCTCTAAACTATTTGACAAGTGTTTGACTGAGTCTTGTTTTCCTGCCTGCTTGAAAATGGCATCTATTGTTCCAATTTTCAAAAACTCTGGAGATCATTCTGACCCCTCCAATAATTGTCCGATCAGTCTTCATTTTGTTATTAGCAAGGTCTTTGAGTATTTGATCTACAATATCTTCTCACATGTCATCTTGAGTCAAATAACTTACTGTCAGGCCATCAGTACGGTTTTTGTTCCTTTCGCTTTATGGTTGATTTGTTAACTGTTGTGACTGAAGTATTTTATTGTGCATTAGGTGGAGGCAGAGTGGCTAGATCTATTTCTCTTGATATATCTAAAGCTTTGGACAAAGTTTGGCATGCTGGTTTTCTCCATAAGCTTGCTTCCTATAGTGTATATGAGAATTTTTTTGAGATTACCAAATCATTTCTTTCTAACTGTTTTATTAAAGTCATCTTTGAAGGCTAAGTCATTTTCAGTAACTTTATGGGTAACTTAAGATTCTATCCTTGCTCCTGTTTTGTTTCATATCTACATTAGTGATTTTCCTTACAACCTTACATCTAAAGTAGCTCTTTTTGCTAATGAGGCAGGCAGCTGATCTTGAAACTGATCTCACTTCTTAAATAGATTGGTTCTTTCAATGGCTTGTAAATTTTAACTTTAACAAAACTCAGTTATTTACTGCAAACAACTATTGCTCATTGTATATTGCTCATATATATTATTCCTATATTAATGAATGGCAACCCTCTCAATGATTCCTCTTCTTTATGTCTTTTTAGATTATCTTTTACTACTGACCTTTCGTAGAAACCATATATACAATTGGTTGTTAAATATGCATCCGCTAAGTTTGCTTCTGTTTATCATGCTCACCATTTTCTTACTCATAATTCCATTCTCTATCACTACAAACCTTTTATTCATTCCTGTATGGATTTCTATTTTCATATTTAAGCTGTTTCTTCTAATAATGCTCATTTTCTTCTAGGCAAGGTCCAAAAATACATTGTAAAGCTTAGCATATAGAGTGGGCCCACTCTATATGCTAAGCTTGAACCTCTTTCAACTTGTCAGAAAGCTGCATCTCTTTCGCTTTTCTACTTATAGTTTCACGATTGCTGCTCAGAGGAGCTATCATTTCTAGTTACATCTAAAATTTGTTATTTGCTTTACTCGTTATTCAGCTAAGTCTCATTCTTTTACCATAAATGTCCCTGCATGCTCTAAAAACTTTTATTTATCTATCCTGACTTATACAACCTACAACCTTTCAAGTCTTCTGTCAACTGTTTCCTTGCTATATAACTCTATTCTTTTTTTTTCAAATAACTCCTAATTTAATAGTTGTTGCCTTTTTGGAGTGAAGCAGAATAGAAAAATATAAATAAACACCAGGCACCTCCATGCTGACACGTATTGAACAACATAGGCACTGACAGACCATGTCTGTCAGTGTCTATGTTGTTTCTGTGTCAAATCAGCTTTTAAATATGTCGGTTAAAAAGGCATTAACAACGCTTGATGGAAGAACATTTAGGGGTATCTAAAAAATCAAATTTTTTACATTGCTTTTAGGGTAGCACAGAAAAGTTGACTTGTTTATAAGTAACTTCTGTTAAAAATTTCTTCACCCTATAAGAATGTCTTTTTTTCTGGCAAAGGACATGAAATTTCAAAAATTTTGTAAAATCTTTAAATGTTTTTTTTGTTTAAAATTTTAGTCAGTCTTCTCCATTTGAAATTTAATGCCAGCACACAAAAAAGCGCTGGCAGAATGGTCATTTTAAGTTAAATAGCAGAAAAATATTCATTTTTTTCTGCTGTTTAAATTAAAATAAAAATAGTGAAAAGAATGCTTTGAATAAATACCAAATAAAATAATTTTAAAAAAAACTTGTAAAAAAAAGCATTTTACATAAAATTTGAACAAATGAACAAAATTTTTGTAACAATTTAAAACAAATCATATTTATTTTTATGGCAAGTGCTTTACTATGAGCTTGCCAAAGTTTTTGCAGGCGTGTGGGCAATCGAAAAAAGACTTAGGCACGGAAGCGCTGGTTTAACAGAGAAGACTGGATAGTGTGCAAAAATTGCACCTATATACGGTTATTTATAGGAATATTTTGAGGCCACACAGACGATATGTTCTGTTCTTGCAAGGAGTCTGAAATTACCTAAAATTCAATACCTAATAAAATAATTACCTAAAAATCATCACCCAAAAATCAAAATACACCTTTTCATGAGCATGAAAAAGCGGTGTATTTATATTAATACATGTAGATATAAATAAATTTTTTTTCTGCTTGTTTACTCATCAAGTTTTTCAGGTTATCATTTTCATTAACCACTAATAAATATTTTATTAATTATCAAATTTTTTTTTGTCACAGGTCGTGAACTGAGCTAGCAGAAAGAAAAAATACATTCCAAAATCTTTAAAGTTTTCAAAACAGAGCATTAGACTACCTGATTTTCAGATCACCGATAGATTTTGCCAGGATTCTTCCAAAAATTATTATTAAATGCTGCATTTATGAAAGGTGATGTCATGGTCTTGGATCTGAAACAACTGGTAACAAGCAACATTCATTTTCTTCCATCGCAGAACATATCTAG